TATTAAATATGAGTGTGTGTGTGTGTGTGTAAGTTTGAGCAAACAGGGGGAAAACGGATGTTGGCAATAAGGCGCTTTATATCACATTATATTTATAAATATCATTGTTAAATTGAGTAATCACATTCGATAAACAAAACCAGGGAACAATCATTAAGAATGAGAATTACTGAGTGAATTTTATTATAAATTTTGTGTACACAATAATAATGAAATTAAAATAAACAAGTAGATCAAGAGAAATCAAAGGATGAAGAATCATCAACACCGTGAGTTTGTCGTCCTGGAGTCGGTGTCACTGGTGTAGTCGCTACACTACCAGATGTTTTAGTCTGAAAGCAAAACCGAGGAAATAAATAAGTTAATAACAATAACGATAACAAAAGAATAGCTGAGTAATTCAATGACTTTTGGGGTGGAGAAATAAAAATAAAGGTTGAATCGGTGAATTTTACTTTAAAAAAATTAAACGTAAAACTTATCCCAAGTTTCACATTATCAACAGATTTGGGTTAAATAACAACAGAAAACAAGAAAGTACTAGTGAGGTATTTTGTTGTAGTATGAAACTCATAAACAGTGAATATCCACGACCCCATAAGAGATTGGATTCAGAACCACCGGGTCTTGTAGCAAGTGTTTAACCTGAATAACATTGGTTTAGTAGGAAATAACTTCTTATGGGGTCATTAGTTCACAATGCTAAGGAGTCACACAGTAAGACAACACAACTGTTCAGTGTTCTTTTGGATCTTTATTCTTTGTCTAATCAAAGTCGGTTTGTGTTGAGAAAACTTAAAATTGACTATTTTCATAACACCCGATAATAACAATGAAGCGTACTCATTATAAGGCTGATATAAAAACACTGTTTTAATGTTATTCCTCATAAGAGTCAATCGTATTCATAACACGTGTATTTACTCTGAACTAGTTCAACGTTATTCATTCATATGTAATGATAAAACGAGATCATCCTAAGTGAGAGATTACCTAAACAAACATACTTATTATTGTGGATTGTGTTGAACAAGATTCTAGATAGCAAAGCTACATAAATATATATTGTTTGTGGTTTTAAACCGGTTGTTAGTCAATTTTTCTCCTTTAAGCTCAAATCATCACCCCACCCACATTTAGTATTCGTCATAACCTTCTCTACTGTCAATAATCTGCATACACGTGATATATGATCATATATATAGAGAGAGTTGTCCATCATTATCATCTTTTTGAGTGGTGTGACATTAACAATCTCACCATTTTTCCAAATGACCTTAATATAACTAAACATACAACTTAATCCTTATTTCTCAACCCTTACCTTATTAGCCATAGTGACATTTCCTAAAAAAAAAAATCATATTTCCTATTAGATGACCTTCGGTGATGTGAGAGATTTGACTGATATTAGATATGGACACGTTACTTGGTTTTATTATGCTGGAGAGATAACTCTATGATTTGTGATTAACATTGTGTGAAGTTGGATTTTTATCACAGGATGATGTCAGTATAATCAAACTCCCCATTTAGACATTTAGTTCAAAGGCGGTTAGAGCAAAAAAATACATCAGCTGAAAATTCAATGAAAACCAAAAGTAGACAGTTAGTTCATTCTTGAATGAAACTTTCAAGTTATGAGTAACAATGACTCTACCAGGAATTGTCAGATCCATGTCTCGAGGTGAGGATGATGTCATTGAGACATAATTTGACAGCCTACAATTCCTTAACTCTAGTTAATTCATGATTCCTCCAGATAATCATTCAATGGTATCATAGTTTCTAAATGGAAGTTTTCGAATTATTTACCAAGTTAGACACTATCGTCACTAGCACTTATTATAAGTTTGTATACTTTGAATTTTTTTTCTGGTTAGAATTTGTTTTTAGCAAGGTTGGTATTTTGAATTGCTCAAGATAAAAGGAAAATGCGGCAGATCAATGAACAACTTGAGCCGGGAATCGGAGGCAGACATAAAAATAATGAACAAAACTTGGGAACAGTTAGAAAGGAGAGCGCTCAGGACAGAGTTGATTGAAGATCCCTTATCGGCGGCTTATACTCTATGATGAGCAACAGACGTAAGTAATAATTTAAATTTCAGTTTAAAATATTAACTGTGAGGTTTACTGATACCATTTCCAATTGTTTATGGCAAAGTAGACAGTGTAGTGTGGTATCCAGCTTGAAACTTAAATGATGAAAGTCGAATATAAGTAGTCATAAGTGAACTTGAAATTTATACAAGTTTAAAAGCTATAAAAAAGTTTATGTAGTTTAGTGAGGAAAAAACAGAAGACATAATAGGAATATCATTCAATAACTTCAGTGGATTCTTTAAGCTAAATCTTATTGATCCAAAACTCAGTATATCTGGCAGAGACTTCAAGTTCATTTATTCCACACCGATAAATCTTCTAATTGAACTCTTGGATCGGTTTCCTAAGCTCTTAGAATAGTATCAGGATAAATCTACACGACAACTTGAACAAGAGAGAAAAAACCAGTAGTGTGAAAAGAACGCTTCACAACAAGGTTAGTTTATGTACATAAAATAGAGGGTGTTTACAGTATTTCAGATGGCCTTGGGTATCTAGAAGATTCCGGAATCATACTAAACATTGTAGCAGGATAGGTAATCCTCTAATCAGAAATGTGATACGTGACTCTTCACTTTCTAGATGTATTTGAGATACTTCTATTCAATGCTGATTAGATGAAATGTTTCTCACTGTTTTCAGGGCCCTTCTTGGCGTTTTCGAGTAGTACTCTTGGTCTACCCTACAGTATTCGTTAAAAGAGAATTTAGTGCAGCAAACATACAGCACACCTTTCGTAGTGGATTTAAGAAAATAAAATGGAATATGTAATTCCAATTAGCTTTATATAAATGTTATTACTGAAACCCACTTGGAACGTGTGAATTCCATGTTCAATGATGAAATTTACGGGACAAATGGATAGAATAACAATGAATCCATCACTAGGTCCCGTATTCGTTGGTATTTTTCTGTTTAACCTATAGAAAATGGTCCACTCAAACAGTTTATCACAGTTTTCATTTTGTTATGTGTGATTGACATATCCATCCTTTGTAATCATATTAGAGAATAACTAAAAGTTCATTGACAATTTGTGCAGTACACCCGGCTATTAAGTTCATAAAAGAAGAAGAACTTAAAGGTAGGAATACATTTTACGCTGTTCTCCTAACTGACAAAGTTGAATAATATTGTATTTAAACGAGAAAAATATATACAGAAGGACATATCCATCTCTTAAGCTTTTTTATCGCTTCAGTACAAAAGAAAATTGGCAGAAACATAGAATAACAACCACATGCTCTACTCAGACTTCTGACGAGGAACTGAATGTCATGGATAATACTATCAGGGGAAAATTTATATCCTGAAAAGTTTCGAAACATATTACGTATTTCTCTGATCAAACGTATAATTTGATTTGCGATTAAATTATCTTTCTGTTTTAGATGGTGGTTGGAGGTAGTCAACAGGAAACCCTGGACCCGGGTTTCCTGCTACTTGGCAGTCGTCAGCAAGGTGTACCTGTAATCTTGAGGGAGCTGGTGCTCCCTGGCGGATTCGATCTCGTGTAACCCAGCTTCACAGTCAGGGACGTTACCACTGAGCTATCCGAGCCGTGACTAACTTCCTGTAGGACTGAGATGTAATCACAATTGATTGATCACTGGGTGGTGATCAGTGTCATGCTTGTCTAGTCCTGGTGGCCACATTGCAACATGATCGATAGCATTCGATCTGCACTAATAAGGACTAGACAAGCATGAGATTGATCACCACCCAGTGATCAATCAATTGTGATTATCTTTCTGTTTGTTATATCCGAGTGAAGATTAAATTATGGGTAACTTTTGAGAACTACTTATGGACTAATATTATACATATTCTTATTATATAACTGTTGAGAAGCTAAACTATTGGTTACTGTTATGTGATTTACTATTCTCAAGTTATTCTCAATCTATTAGTCACAGTTTCTTACAATCACAGCCACTTTTTGTCATGATCTTGTACAATTGTTATTTTTTATTTTATGGTATGATATGGTCTGGTTTGTTTTATATAAACCAGGTATGTTTGAAATAAATGATTCATATAGTGTAACCTGATATTAGTGTTCTGGACTCAACAGGCAGGGCTAGACAGGAAAGAGGACCAATTAGAACTCTAGGCTGCTCATACCGCTTAATCCGTCATTGATTTGGCACAGTGCTAAGATTGTATAAGTCGTATTCAGATCGGCGACTAAATTACGTGACAATTAGCCGGGCAGAAGTCACAACACTTGTCCAGTATTACTTATATTTATTCTAATCATTAATTTCGCAATTCCAATAAACGTCCAAATTTATTCAAGTTAACATTACATAATGGTCGTTTTAACATCAAATCTAGTTTAATAATGATCTTAAATTCAAACTCTATATTTACCTTAAATTAGTACAGGACTACATTTACTAGCATAGATATTCTTTCTTCATATTATGTTTCAATACAAAGTGTTTTTATGTTTGTTACATTGTTAAACAAGTCATGTATTTTCAGTGGTACAATTTGACAAGTAATTTACTGAGAGTGACTATCCTATCAGATATATCGTATGTAACCAGGAGTTTTTAACTGTTTAATTTATCTGAAAGCAGCTTTGGTTTATGTAAAATAATTCCATAAATACTTTCCTTAATCTTGTGATCAAATTAGAAGGTAGCACAGTGGATAAGGATAAATTTACAACGAACTATCGACCAAATCACAAGTTCTACCCTGAATGACTCAGTTGAATTTCCTATTGTTTGCCCTAGCTTCTAATAGACCAGTCCATACATCTAAAGTTGCGTTATGATTGGTCAACTGTTTTATTTATCATGTAATTGGTTGATTTCATGTGCATGTGATTGGTCAAATACATTAACTTGTCAATATAAATTCGTAGGAGTTAGGAAAGTTTGACTAGAATAATGTCTACCAACGTTGTTACTCCTGTGTATCCGGTCTCTTGTTTGACAGATCCATCATATGATGCAGTTTTGTTACTGAATGATGATATTGAAAATTTACCAAGAACTTTACAGCTGGCTTATAAGTCCTTGAAGGAGTTCTGTGAGGTGAGTAGTATTTGTTTGCATAGTCTACCGAATTACACATGGTTTATCTCAAGTTACAGAGTTTAGTTAAATATAAAAATAAAGCATAATGTTTCTCGAGAATTTCCACTTTGCTATGACTAATTCCTAATATTTTTTTAAGGTGTTGCCCAATTTTTACAATGACATGCATAAGGGTCAAGTGTAGTATTCAAAACCTGGCTAGTATTCCTGCACAAAAAACCACTTAATATTTCACATTCGTCTTCAGAATAAATGCTAAGGTGTCAAAATAATTATTAAATATTTGCATTTATATTTCTTGTCCATAAAATTTCTACCGAGATGTACGACTAAACATAGGTTCAAGTTGTATGAAGACCTTCAGCCATTTTTCCAAATCCTGGGCATCATATTATATTGCGTTATTAGTTCGGTGATGCAATTACTTGTTAATGATACTGATGTATACAAAACTTGCTATTTCCAAATAATTGCCCAGATTCCGATAATCCTGTAGTACATTTCAAATCTACCGTAGGTTTTTACGCTCAATAAATCCTTCGTACTTGATTGATTGATGCAAGCGATTTGACTTTATACGTATACATCTGTTCACGTCATATATTAGTTAGTTAGTTATCAGTTTTCATAACCGATCGAACTTGTAATCTAATGAACGAAGATTGACAGGTTGTACATTGTGAGCCAATTAATTATGATTATGATTAATTCACAACTTAGTTCAATTCATATCTTTACTAGTTTGCAACTGCTATCTCTTAACATTTCACAGCTAACTATCGATAAAAGTTTAGGAGAGTATTCAGTAAAATTTCAAGGGCATTCTGTGGTATCAAGCTTTGAATTATTTATATTGATTTTGCTATAGTACACGGTATATATCTATATTTAGAACAACATATATAAGCGAACAATATTGTTTTCGGTTAGATCCTCATCAGGCTTTACTCTAATATACAGGAGGTTATCAATAAACTGGATTTCTACTGTCATTACGTTGATGACACCTTCATCATTGCCGATCAGAACATTAGAAAAGAACAACTACTGGAACTATTTAATAACAAACATCCTGCTATTAAATTTACATGTGAAGAGGAAATAAATAACAAACTAAATTTTCTGGACGTTTTGTTACGTAGAAAAGAAAATGGTTCTATCAGCAGAGGTGTGTATAGAAAAAGTTCTTCTCCAAGCCAATACACATATTTTTTAAGCTTTGTGCCTCTTCATTATAAGAGAAACTTAGTTAAATGTTTTACAAATAGAGCTCTTAAGATATGCTCAGTCGACACTATTGATAGAGAATTACAACACATTCATAATATTTTGACTGAATTGGGATATCCCCTGGGTTTCCTGAAGAAACAATTGCGCGTACAAAACAGGAAAATAGTGACTCTGACAGCTAATAAGAAACCGCTTTTCTTGAAACTGCAATTCAATGGTGATTTGGCTAGCGATGTATTACGGGATAGATTGACTAGAGCAGTAAAGAGAACGTTTAATGCTGCCAACCTCTGCCTATCTTATTCGACCCGATCGATGGTGATTCCACAATTGAAGGATAAGTTACCTGGTTATGCCACTTCTATGTGTATCTACAAATTCAGCTGCTCCTGTGGAGAAAGCTATGTTGGGCGCATTACCAGGCAACTGAACCAACAAGTTAGTGAACACCTCCCTTCGTGGTTAGGAAAAGGTTACGTCAAAACAATACGCACCTCCGTTCTATCACACTTGATCGATAGCGGTCATATAGTGGACAGAAACAAGTCGTTCAAAGTTATTTATCGTATTCCCACTAGTTTTCCTTATTGTGTTCGATCTCGTCTCTTACACAGCAGAAGCTATAGGAATCCGAGCCAACAAGCCAAGTTTTTGTGTTCAGAAGAAATTTGTAACACCCTTATCTCTCCCCTGGCCTTAAGTAATAAATGAATTTATTTATTCTTTTTCTAACTTTCTCTTCGTTTATTATTTTTCTTCACACCCTCCTACCACTTTATTTTCTCTTAAGTATACGTTTCATGGTCCAATTATCTGAACATTTCTTATTACGTCATCTTATAATTTTATAATTGTTATCTCGGTTTCTATATTTTTCTAATTATTGACCTATTTCCGATTATTTAACATTGATTTGAACCTTTATTATTCCTATCAAAACTAATGCACCTGTTGTCACACCATCACATTTTACCTATTATGTAATCTTTTCCATTGTTATCATTGACGTATAAACTACCTTGATTGGTTTAATAATTTGGTATATCCATATAAATATTACTGTATATTAGAGTAAAGCCTGATGAGGATCTAATCGAAAACAATATTGTTCGCTTATATCTATGTTGTTCTAAATTTACAATATGAGAATATTTCAAATATATCTATATATATAAAGTTTGATCTGCTGAATTAGTGAATATTCTATCATAATAATTTTTTAACGTTTACTTCCAAGGTTAATCCTAAGTTTTCAGATGAAATCAGTGTGATTCCATTCCCAGAACATCCATCAAAAAGATTAGTAAGTAATTTTTTCAATGATTTGTGTTTGCATTTTTTTTCATTTGAAATCTTAGAGTATGCAAATCAGGTACATTTATATTTGTTCTCTATGAAGCGGCTTTGATAGCCATTTACCAGTCAATGTTTTTCTAAGAAACACAATTTCTTCATCAATGCATTCAGTACTACAGATCTTACTTATTCGGTAACATGGAGTGAATAAGATTCCTCTTTTTGCTTAGTGGAACTCAGCTATGGAAGTTGGTTAACTGGGTCATTCTATGGTTACTTTCCGCAAATTGACCTTTTTAAAGATATATATCTCTTTGTCAGAGGCGTATCGGGGGATGAGGTAGAATCATCTAATTCCTTTCAGAGTTGTATTTACATAACTGTTGAGTTCTATTTATGTATGAAGACATTTAAAATACTGATTATTCAGTTCTCAGTTGAGTGCTGAAATCAACGAGCGGGCATTTTATTTGATTGGTTAATTGTCTTATTTCTCACGGTAAACTTTTATTCAGTTGAGTTTATTTAATCTACGTAACTCTCGAAATCTGACCAATAAAACTGTTATAATTGTATTGTGTATGTGTTAAAAAATTAGTGCATGAATAGTTATCAGATATTTACAACTTAGGTAATGAGTAGTAACACAAAACTTTACAATTCAATCAACATGAACTGGATCGGTCCTCAGTTTCTTAAGACTACCAGTTATGCATTAAGTACACACTTCAGATAGTATCCATTTATTATGAAATATATGCTTGCTTATTGCTTAATAAAAATCACAAAATTTCAATATCATTTTAAGCCTCGATTATCAATTTCAGCATGATAGGATTTTTGGATTTGTAAGTCAGTCTATTCTTTAAAAATATTTCATAAGGAATTTTTAAATTATTTTAGATTTTTAGTCCAACTGGTCGGTTAAATACAGATGAAGCGGACATTCGTAGCGTGTATGATGCTGCTGTGAATGGCATGTTAAAGTAAAGTTTACATTGACTTTATATTCTTGTGGGTACACACATTGATCTTTTGTCTGATTCAAATATAAATGATGATTTTACTTTTAAGGCTATATTGCATTGTGATCCCAACCACTAGGTCGCAAGCTTGAACCACTCTCACTTTCGATTGATGGTACATACTACTTATATCTGTCGACATCAGTAGCACACATAGTAGTATTGATTTTTCTTTAACATAAAATTTTCTTTTAACTTGACACTTTTTACTCTATGATGACAAGGTTAGTTTTTCGTTTTAATTTCAAGCGTTCTGAGCACCGTATAGTGATATTTTTTCCGTTCGTTTTACGGTATTTCGAATTTTTTGCGGAAACCTAAGTCTCATTCCTTATTCTGATTGACTTGTCCCTCGTACTTTACTTCTACCTTGAATTCTTAAAATAGTCTCTTGGATAAATTTAAATACTCCCGTATTGTCAATTAGAACAACGTATATGAATGAACGACATTGTTTTCAACTAGATCCTCATCAGGCTTTACTTTTAATATATAGTAATATTTCACAGGTTGAAATCATGAGTCATTTGAAGCTAGACCACCATAGAAAACCTGGGTGCGGGATCGTGGATGCGCACTGCTGAGGAATCCCATACTAGGACGAAACGGCCGTTCAGTGCTTCCAGGTTTTCCTTAGTGATCTAGCTTCAATTGACTCATGATTTCAACCTGTGAAATTTCTAAAACTCTCCACAAAACCCATTCTGATATAGTAATATTTAAATACACATATGAAATTGTTATATCAAGTATGACGGTTTATGAGTCAGTGATAACAATGGAATAGATTACATAAACAAACATAATAAACAAAAAGTACTAATTGATGGTTTGATGACAGGTGTAATTGTGATAAGAATAATAAAGGATTGAGTCAATGTTTCATAATAGGAAATAGATCAATGACTTGAAAAGTATAGATACTGAAATGACATTTGTTAAAGATTATGAGATTACGTACCCGGAGAATTGGACAGTTAAGCATATATTTGAAAGAACGGGGTAGAGAGAAAAACATCAGGACATATAGTATGGGAAGTAATAATTTTTATGACTATAAAGATTTGAATTGTTAACTCGAATCCCCATAGCTTCTGCTCTATGTAAGAGACGTGATGGAACCCTATAAGGAAAACTAGCAGGTATAGGATAATTTATTTTAAATGACCTATTTCTAAGTTTCCTGGTTTTGCTAAATCATGTATGCCTACGAATTCAGCTACTCCTCTAGAGAAAGTTATATTGGGTACACAACCAAACAACTGATCGAACGAGTTAGTGAACATCAGCCTTCGTGGTTAGTCAAAGGTATAATCAAAACAATGTGCAGCTCTGTCTTATCATGTTTCGTCGGTATCGGTCATGTAGTAGATAGACCTTCACCCTCTTCTTTACAAACTGTATTTGAAATGGTTATTCACGCAGTTCATTCTTTAGGATTACATAATGTAATTGATTATTGTAGCTATAAGTTTATTTTCCTAAATTTCGACCTACTTTTTATGTCGCAATAAATATACATGAGATCAAGCTTTTTTAAAATTATTCATATTAATATCATTCATAAAACCTGTCTCCTCACTACAGATTTTCACTCATTTATTATGACACTGTGTAATCTACATGATTGTTACTGACAACCTACTAATGACCTTTGTTAGTTTAATATTTATCATGTATGCATAGGAATATCGTTGTATGTTAGAATCGAACCGGATGGATATCTAATTGTAAACGATTTTTGTTCAATTACATGTCTTATTCCACAAATTTGTTTTATTTAGCTCAATATTTTTATTACTAAATAAGAATACTCCTTTGTATTAGTTTCATTGATACTATACTGCTGATCTTCATTTTAATAATATAAAGATGGAATAACATGATATAGGCAATGATGCTTGAGAAATTTGTAACAGAGCCAATAATTGTATGCTTCTCTTCATCTTTTTTTTAAAAATCTTCCCTTCTGATCTGTTCAGATTCTGTTCGTTCCTTTTGCTTTATAATTTTCTACTACAATTGTTATATATCGCTTTTCTTACGGTTATGACCCGGCTATTCCTATTGCTTAGTATTCTCGGACACCGATTCACTCGACAAGTCCCCAAATCAAAACACGGTTGAACAGGAAGAGATTATATTCCAAATAACAAGGTTAGATGGAAGTCAGAAGCACAATAGAGAAAAACGTCAGTATATTTATAGTATCCTACATGAGAAGATTCTAGAGTGTTCTCCAACTATCGACTAGTGCTGATTGGTTAAGAATTAGCCAATCAGCGTGCACCAAAGCAATCATGCATTGAGCATGCTTTAATCCGGTCTATGTCCCGCTAACACCTCCCCTTTGAGCAGATTCGTAGGATCTGGTGCTAGGGTCCAACTGCAACCGAGTGACTGGCCTGTGCTTTCGATTAGTCCATCGTCTAGGCAATAGTGAAGTATCACTCTTTTCTTGCACAGAAACTGACGTGTCTATTCCCGGCGTTTTGATTTCAAAGGTGTCTAGCAGAACATCAAGAGGTAATCGATATTGAATCTTGTTGCTGGCTATCGAAGTTGCTTTCAATTGGTTAGCATGACGTACCCAAACTTCCGAGCCAACTGACACCTCGTAAACCACACTCCCCTTCTTTTTCACGATCCGACCAGCTGTCCATGTAGGGTGTTTCCCACGATAGTCCATAGCAAGCACTTTTTGTCCCACCGTGAACAATCGTCTTTGTGCCCCATGATGTCGGTTAAACTGATTCTCCATCGATAGGTTTCGTTGGGGTTCAATAGCTGGCGTAGGACGGATGGCATCGAAATGTGTTCGTATCTTTCTGCCAAGTAGAGCTTCTGCTGGAGAGACCCCGTTAATTGTCTGAGGGTTCGGTGTAGAGCGATAAATAAACAGGAACCTCTCTAAGATATCTTCAGTGGTCCCTTCCCCTTTGGATTTTTTTAGAGCATTTTTAAATGTACTCACAAAGCGTTCCACTTGGCCATTTGATTGGGGATGGAATGGAGGTGTTCGCAGGTGCTGGATTCCGTTCTGCCGACAAAATTGTGAGAAGATTCCGGACGTAAACTGTGTTCCGTTGTCACTAACTATCAATTCCGGGATTCCAAAACGACTGAATAGTTGACGTAGTTTACTGACTGTGCAGCTTGCAGTAGGGTGTTCCATGAGAAAAATTTCTGGCCACTTGCTATATGCATCAACCACCAAAAGATAATTTTGTCCATGGAGTGGACCAGCAAAGTCCAAATGTATACGCTGCCACGGTAACTGTGGTATTGGCCATGATTGCAGCTCTGCTTTTCGCGGTGCTTTTGTCGCTAATGCACATTTGGTACAGGAACGGGATAGCTGCTCCAGTTGGGTGTCTAAATGCGGCCAGTATACATAACTTCGTGCTAGTGCTTTCATGCGATTTATTCCAGGATGTCCTGCATGCAACTGTTCAAGCACTGCTGGTTGTAGCTTCTTGGGAATTATGACACGTTCGGCAAACAGCAGACAGTCATCGATGATTGAAAGAGAGAGTCTTCGTTGGTAAAACTGTTGAAGCTCTGTGGAACTGATTTTCGAGGGCCACCCTTCTAGGTGGAACTTTCTAACTTCTTGTAGTGTTGGGTCTCGAAGCGTTTCTTCCCTGACTTCATCTGACGACACTGGAGTGTTTCGAATGGCATCTGCCACTATACTTCGTATTTCTGGATCTACTGTTGTGGAGGCGATGATTATATCCTCTGGTCCAGGATGTTGAACTCCAATTAATCGGGAGAGAGCGTCAGCTTGACCGATAGTATTTGTCGACTGATACTTGATATTAAAATCATAACTCAGGAGCATTGTTGCCCAGCGCTGTAGTCTATTAGCCGTATAGACAGGGATTCCTTTCTTAGAACCAAAGATTGCAATCAAAGGTTTGTGATCTGTCAGTAGAGTAAATGTACGACCATAGAGCATTTTATGAAATCTTTTGACTGCGAAAATGATTGCAAGAGCTTCCTTTTCAATTTGGCTGTAGTTTCGCTCGGCTGGAGTAAGTGATCTAGCAGCATGGGCAATTGTCTTTTCTGATTTATCCGGAAACACGTGAGATATCACTGCTCCAACTCCATGACTTGAGGCATCAGATGCAACAACAATTTCCAAGCTGGGATCGAAGTGCGTCAAAAGAATCTTTGAGCTGAGCATTGATTTGACTCTGTCAAAAGATGCTTGACATTCTGCTGACCACTGCCAAGGTTTATCTTTCGATAGTAATTCATTTAGGGGACCTCTCACTCGATGCATTTCAGGCAAGAATGTGCTGTAATGACTGATTAACCCCAAGAAGGATCTTAATGAAGAAACATCAGTTGGTGCAGGCATCTTCTGAATGGCTTCGATGTTGGCAGGATCTGGTCGGCGACCGTTCTTATCTAAGATAAAACCAAGGTATTTGATCGAATGCATGAAAAAGATACATTTTTCCTCACGTAGTTGGAAACCATACTCCAACACTCGGTTAAGGACTTGGTGTAGTCGATCAGAAAGTTCACTATCAGTTGAACCCATAACTATGATATCATCTAGGTAAGCTGCTGTACCAGGTATACCTGTTAGCATCGTATCCATTATTTGCTGAAAGATGGCGGGTGCGGTCTTGATGCCAAATGGTAGACGAGTGTATTGAAATAACCCTCGATGAGTGTTAATAGTCAGAAGCTCTCTACTATCTTCATCTACTTCCACTTGGAGATAAGCATCAGAGAAGTCTATTTTCGCGAAGCATGTCCCACCATTAAGCTTGGCAAACAGGTCTTCAGGAACTGGTAATGGATATTGATATACATCTAATGCAGCATTTAAACCGGTCGAGAAATCGGCACATATGCGTATAGTCCCATTGGCCTTCTTAATCACTACGATCGGTGCGGCCCATGCAGAGTAGTTAACTGGTCGGATTACACCAGCCTGTTGCAAGCGATTAAGTTCCTGGTCGACTAGCTCAAGAGCAGCATATGGTACAGGACGTCTCGGGCGAAAAATAGGTATGGCATCTGGTTTTACTGGTAAATGCGCTTTCATCTTGGTACAGTGGCCAAGGCTATTCTGAAAAACAGAGGCAAACTTTCTTTTCAGTTTTTCTAGTAACCTTTCACCTGTCTTCTTTGGAAGTACTGAGCTGTTCAATGATGAACACGATACGTTACAGACACTGTTAATTGGTACATCCATTATTCCAAGTTTGTCTAACATATCTAGACCAAGAAGATCAAGGTTCGGCCGTTCTGTTAGGTAACATATTCCTGTACAGTTAGTTCCATTGAAGGAAAATTCACACTGTAATTCACCAACCAGTTTTAGCACACCACCTGATGCGTTTTTAGCCGTTTTCTTAGATGGCTTCATTGGCGGTTTACCCAGCAAGTTATATGTTTCTCTAGACACTAACGTGATATCTGATGCCGTGTCAATTTGAAGACGAGCTGATATGCCGTTTATCTGGATAGTAACATACTTTCTCTGAATGTCATAGTTTGTTTGAAAGGCAGCTACCAAAGAAAGAGATTTGGACTCGGCTGATTTCACATGTCGAGGACGTTTATGCTTCTTCTTAGGCTGAGACGTACGCTTCGGTGGACAATGACCTTCTTTATGTCCACGTTTGTTGCACTCCTGACATTTATGCTTCTTGAACGGACAGAATCGTGCATAATGCCAATCACCGCATAACCAGCATGCAGTCCTTGGTTTGTTACGAGTTGTTACCGGCTTCTGAACTTTTAACCTAGTAATAGTATTTACACTACCGCAGGTTAAATTAGGATTTACCTGTTCAATCAACTCGTTGTCGTGTCTGATGCTTTGTAGACGCTTACACTCATCTGTCAATGTTCTGAGTGTGACGTTTGGATCTTGGTCCAGTCGAGCCAAAAGTCTAGTCCTGATCTCAGCGTCTTGTGGTGACTGAAGAGCTTTGATGAATATTAAGCATTTAAATTGGTCATCAGTCAACGAGCGCAACTTGAAACGTTCACATTCTCTGTTGACAATGTCTGCTAGAACACCATATTCATCAGCTTCGCGTTTCACCAAATTTAGACACCGATATCGAATACTAAACAACGAGGATGACTCGCCGAATATCTCTGACAGCTGAAATACCGTCTCCTCGAAACTGAGCTCTCGAGGTAACTTTGGCAAAATATGGTCAGCAAAACGTGCATGTTCGTTGCTTCCCAACTTACGTACCAACAATCGGGTCTTCCACGCATCGTCTTGATTACAGAATTCTGTTCTAAATGTATCTTCCCAACGTCTGAACCACGTGAGAAAAGTATTTCCATTTTCGGGATCATAGACGAATTCTGGGATGCTGCTAGCAACTGCATCACAAGACGAACTTGAAATAGCGTGTGAACTCGAACTGTGGATGTTGAACTGTCGAGTCAGAGTCTCCAACAACCGCATTTGTGCATCAAGTTGTGCTTGCTGTTGTTGTAGTATTCGGTTAAGCTGGTCATCTGATATAGGCATCTTGAATTTGTTTTCCTTTTTCCCCGTCGCCACTGTTATATATCGCTTTTCTTACGGTTATGACCCGGCTATTCCTATTGCTTAGTATTCTCGGACACCGATTCACTCGACAAGTCCCCAAATCAAAACACGGTTGAACAGGAAGAGATTATATTCCAAATAACAAGGTTAGATGGAAGTCAGAAGCACAATAGAGAAAAACGTCAGTATATTTATAGTATCCTACATGAGAAGATTCTAGAGTGTTCTCCAACTATCGACTAGTGCTGATTGGTTAAGAATTAGCCAATCAGCGTGCACCAAAGCAATCATGCATTGAGCATGCTTTAATCCGGTCTATGTCCCGCTAACAACAATTGATTCACTTAATATGATAACTTAGATGTCTTTTCTCTATTTATGGCAGATCGATATATCTTTCCTATGATTAACCACAGGTAACAACTTACATAACATATTGAATGTAAATGTTAACAGTAGCTTCGTTATAATGTATCCTTGTCAAATTCAGTAATATTAAGTTTCATTTTTCAAATCTCACTATTCTATATTCTTTGCTCTTATATTTAATAGATTGTTAAACATAGGTTGTAAATCACCGCTATTATGTTGTGGATCGTTCATATCAGCACCGAAAGATTCTCAATGGTCTGAACGTAATTGTTTATTACTAAATGCTGTATTGGGAGCATATCATGCATTGTATACAGTAAGTTTTTCATGTTTTTTTTTCAATTTTTATTTTGTTGTACACAAAATAATTTAACATATATTGTGTACCCATTGACTAATTGTGATTAGCTTATTGCAACTTTCTAAGAAAAGGAGGAAACTAGAGAAAACAATATGAAAAGATGAGAGTTAAAAGTCAAGTGTTTAGGGACGTCTGAAAGAAGTGTATATACTAAGTTCCAACACCACATATGTATGCTGCGAAAGGTTTCTACTAGATTTGCTGAACATTTTCTAAAAGATAAGAACTTCTTTATTTCTTCTCGAATTATATTGTTTGTGTTTAATGGTTTCTACCACCACTGGTAACGTTACTACTTCTATTATTGTGGGATTTATTTTGATAATTTCATTTCGCTGCGATGATATCATGTGAAAATTTAAACCGATTCATATACACTCCAGATTCTATATTGGTTATGACTGACAAAGTGATGAATCAGACAATAGTCTCCAGTGTTTCGTATAGTTCAATGGCTCTTCAACTTACTTTATTTCATAATGATGAAAATAATCGTTGAATTAAAACCTCTAACAATCCACTGAAGCAAAAGTTGTTACCGATTTCCGGATGAATAATCACACATTTATAATTATGGAAAATGTGTAAAAGTGTGTATTTTCAGTTAATCGAATTACAAAAATAACATTAAAGGGTGGTCGGAATACGAAATACGATAAATACTTTAATCTGTTTTAGTTGATTGTCAGTTATTATTTATTTTTTTAGTCCATTGAATGTATATTTATCCTATTGTTCACTCTTGAGAATACAGTGATCTTGAGTGCTGTTGGAGGTATGAAGGTAGTTCTCACTTCCCGGTTGCCCACACCGTGGAAGGGTTTTTCTGGAGGTACTTGAAAAGGAATTTGGATTAGAGGTGATCTTAGTGACCTGAGAGCGTGACTGCAGTGCCCAAGGGACAACTGCCTGAGGTCGGTTACACACGACCTTTTTATGAGTAATTTTCGTGTTAGCTGCGCACTTGTTGAGACCTTACCACCGTAGACGGATAACGTGGGACAAGGCCAGGTGTGTATTTTTAGGGTCGACCTTTTCTAACCCCGACCCTCCCTGTGTTAAGGCAGCATCGCTGTCATGCTGGTTGTCTGAAGGAAACACCTTACTGCTGTCACACCTCTGTACAGTCAGCAGTACTACTTCGCCGTCGGACGTTAGGTTTGTTGCTTTTAGTCTTACCGCTCTTCAACCGACCTGTCTGACATGGTAGGACCTTGAAGAACGATTGTTCCAGCCAGTATAGCTTGGTTGCTTCATCACAGTAGGCAAGCCCGACCATCACATCAAGGTAGCAACAACGATCAGGCTATTGTTCACTCGGTCTATGTAATTAAATAATGAATATTTACCCTCACATATTATTTGTACTGGTATGCATAAAAATAAGTATTTGAAATTTCAAAATTGAATTTTCATCGATTCCCTTCATGAAACCAGCCAGTCACTTCCTAAATAATAATAATATGCGCATATTCTTTGAATTATTTATTTAGCCTCTTGAGGTTCGTGAAATGCTTCCTGAGAAATTTCCTAAAGCTATTCGATTTGGGGTGATGGAAGCTAATGACTCCTTACTAGATATCGCTAAAGCCATCGAAGAAGGACGAACATTAGCACGAGATATTGGTGGTTCAGATCCTGAACGAATGGCAGCCCCGAAAATTGCTGAATACCTACAAAATGCTTTAAATGGTCTTAAAGGTGTTACAGTCACTGTCGATAAGGTTGATGTTAAGAAATACCCATTAATGGCAGCGGTAAATAGAGCAGCGTCAGGTGAGTTTCCTTTGGTCGTTTGAATTTTCCCATTCACCGTTATTTCTAAAACTTGACACAACTTGCTTTTGATAAAATTGATTTTTTGTATGCTATTGAACTCTGGTTGGCCACTAAACGGAGACAATCAGTCTTCTCCATGCGTTAACTATTATACAGATGTATGTTGTATGTTTCTACTCAGAGTTCACTGTATTTGTATGGACTGCTGGTGCTGTGTTAAGTAGACAACTGTTTGGGTCTAGTGATCGTATAATCCTGTGTCCAGATCGTATTATTGTATCATAGTAGCATATCGCGGCAAGCGCGATAATAATGCACTTTCCAATTTTAATAAATATTATGTATCAAAAGGGGTTTTGTGGAGATTTCGGAAAGTTCACTGGTTGAAATCATGAGTCAATTGAAGCTAAATCACCGTTGAAAACCTGGAAGCACTGGATGGCCGTTTCGTCCTAGTATGGTGTACGGTGGCTCAACTTCGTGGATTGGTTGGAGTTAGGTTAGACATTAACACCGTTGGATGCCGGCTCAGTGGTCTAATGGTCTAGCGCGCGGGACTGATAGGTCCTGGGTTCGAATCTCGTGGGAGGCGGGATCGTAGATGGGCCCTGCTGGGGAGTCCCACAATAGGACGAAACAGCCGTTCAGTGCTTCCAGGCTTTCTATGGTGGTCTAGCTTCAATTGACTCATGGTTTCAATCAGTGAAATATTATGTATGTTAATATTCTGATAATCGAATTTTCTTCGCACCCCGTGGTATTATTGATTTATTATTATTGTTATGAATAACACTCAATGTTTACATTCAGATGATGGATTTCGAACTTGCTCTTTCATTTCTTAATTGCAATTCTTTTTCTTATATGATTATTTGTGGTAAACAACCGATTATGTAATTTCGTTTTTAATCTTTACTTTAAAACAATTAGTCTTTGATAAATTTCGATGATGCAATGAGGAGATGAAGTTTATCAGAATTATGTGATATATATTTGCGCAATACATTTCGAACAATCTGATCACACGCAATATACTTGTTAAGACATTTTTATATGAAATTAAAAGGTCAACTAGACAGATTAAAGGTAAGCCGTAACAAAAAATAATAATAAAGTACACAAAAACAATGTGATTATCAGTATTACTAGGATAGGTTAAAGATAAGGACAAATTGTTTTTGAACGCATAAAGGGGGTTTCAGTTTCCGTATAGCCAAGGCTTCAATAAACCTTAGTACAAGTTTTTGAAGGCTTTTGTATAACATTATAAATGTTGACTTTATATCACCCTAATGACCAGTCTTAATCAAATGTTTCGAAATGCAGGATGATATCTGTCTATCCTGTGATCTTATTTGATCATGAAATATGTGTGATCAGATTGTTCGAAATGTATTGCGCAAATATATCACATAATTCTGATAAACTTCATCTTCTCATTGCATTATCGAAATCTTTATTTTCTTTGAGTTATTTAAAGGTTATAAATTTTGGAGAAAATTTTGTGTTTAATTGTAAGATCTACACATTAGAGTGATAGCAAGTAATCAATTGAAAGGATACATTTCTTCGTTTAAATTATCCTTTTAATTCATCATATTTTTTAAAATTTTCTTTGAACTAATGAAAATCACTCCCACCTTCACTTCGATACCTGAATATTTACAAATTTATATCCTGTTCTAGCCCCGATTACTTCAGAAATATCAGTGGGTACTGTAACATCCAAACTGTTAGTTTCGGATTCTAAATAGCTCCTAGTAATACATTAGTTATTCGTCCTTCTTCACAGGCACATTCCAAACTATCGTTAGGTAGAATAAAGTACTATTCTAAATAATCATAAATATGAATCATACAAAATAGCTAAATGAATGGTATCACTAGGCTATTCAACCAGTGAGTTATTCAGTAAAATGTGTACAGTCGAATCCAGAATATATCGAGTAGATAAATTGTTAACGAACACAAAAATGGTTACTTAGCGAAGAAGAAATGTGTCCCTGCTAAGCAAGGTATGTAATTCTGCCAGCTAGTAATCAAGCGATTTGATCACTGAAACTCAAACAGTCCATAATTTGTACAAACTTTTTACAGTACAAACTGAAAACATCTTCGACTAACTTTTAAGGAATATAAACTGCCCAGAAAAGACACTTCCCGCTAAATGAGGACTTTATTCTACAGTAAAACAATAAAACATTTCGAGCAGTAATCAACCAAACTCAAAGCAAATATGACAGCCGACAAAGAAATGTGATTGAGCAAAGCGGAATTGAGACAATCATTGAAATACTGTGTAACAGCAAGAGAATGTTCTGAAAACTAAAATTATGATCGAAATAACGTCAATCTCCTGTGAAACCAAGAAGTGGAACGAATATACGGGAACAAAATTATCGAGAATATTAATCTTGTATTTAAAGGATGATAATTAATTATTTCGATGTAAGAAACATATGGGAAGAACCCTCTTCCCCAACATACACGTGCATATCCACACAATAAGTTGCTTACAGCTATTTTGAAAATTTTTCTCCTTTCCTTTCACCTTACTAACATAAAGTCATTCGTTACACTGCTTTATTTGTAACTTATCTACTTTTCTGTTATTTATGATTGTCAACAGTGTGTACTAAGGGCTTCCGGTTGGCCAATGGTACTTGCAAATCAAGGAACGATTGAACTATTCTCATATGAATGGTTCTGTTGTCAACGGCTGGAACACAATACTTCACACAATTACCCGCTAACACAACAAGACAATAACTGTTCAAACAGTCAACTTGAAATTGTACAACTCAGTATATTATATCTTATCGAAAGTACGATCTTCAAGCATGCAGAAAATCAGCTGACTTAAAGTAGTGACAACTAGTTAGAAAAGGGCAGAAGTCGTATTAAAGGTTGAGTTGGAAGAAATGAAATTTAAGATTATCGTCACTAGTAAGAATTCTAATATTAGAAATGGATACTGAGTAAAATCCCGTTATCACACTAACAGTTTTACTCGTTAATATGACCACACCACACCATAATTATTCAAACAGGACACTGATATAATAGAAAATGTCTATCAAAGCTGTTTGTGCAAGCCCAATATGTAGACGTGGCGATTTTTTATATTCTTAATAAAATAGTTATTTAAGATAACATTCATATTCATTTTCTTTTAAAAATAAATCCCATGAGTATAACTAACTTTTATGTCATTCAAATGTGAATACTTTTTAAGGAGAAGGAATAAATAAACATTTTTTCTTTCAGTTGTACCTCGTCATGATGGGAGAGTTGTTCATATTGATTATAAACCGTTGAATTCCAAAGAGATCGATACATCGTTATTTCTTGTCGGTAAAGGTATCACTTATGATACTGGTGGAGCTGATGTTAAAGCCGGTGGAATTATGGCTGGGATGCATCGAGATAAATGTGGTGCTGCAGCAATAGCTGGTTTAATGAAAACTATTGGATTACTGCAACCAGACGGTATAAGTGTTTCAGCAGGTTTGGCATTTGTGCGAAATAGTATTGGAGCTGAATCATATGTTGCCGATGAAATAATCATTGCACGCTCTGGACAACGTGTACGTATTGGTAATACAGATGCTGAAGGTAGAACGGTTATGGCTGACTTATTATGTGAAGCAAAAGAAAAGGTTAGTAGTTATAGTATTTTTTTAGTCAATGTTCAAATATCTTTTACACATAGAAACTCACCAGTAGTATTGTGAATATCCCCGTTTGATGAGTTATCTGAATTAGTGTTAAGTTTTAGCCTATAAAGTCTTTCATTGTATGCTTTGGAATGTTGCATTGATTTTGTGAAAGTTACTTATATTTACGATCATTATCATTATTATGTTAAAATATTAAAAAATGTCATGATTTAGTTCTCCTTTTTGTACTTCCTACCCATGTTGCCACTTTAACGTAAGCATGATAGAAATTTGGTTTTGTTGTCTTGCCTGTATGAATCGAGACACGCGGAGTCATCTCATACTGTCATGATTGAATGAATATTAAGGACTTTGTAACTTGACTATTTATATTTTTATTTTATAGTTGTTAAATAACTGGTTTGATTGTATTTCCACATTTATTGTATAAGTTTCTGTTGGATTCATTAACTACTGTTATTCGTTTTACCATTTTTCAATTATTGCTAATTTATTATTCCCCTCTTGGTCTCATAGTAGCTTGGCTTCTAGATAGTTCCTTATGTTTCGTTTATCAATCACCTTGATAACCGTTATGGTCCACCAGGGTGCTTGATACCTGTGTGGTTGCGCTACAGGATTGAGCTGTACTATTCAGATTGTAGCGTTAAAGCCTGTACGGTGTCTGGTTCCCCTGCTGAACGTGGTTGAGCTGTACTGTTAGGGTTTCTACGTGAAAGTCCGGATGGTGTCTGGTTCTCCTGAAAACCAATGTAAAATTACCCTGGCCCACAAGGGTATATTATATTATATAACTGTGATAACCGTTAGCATATAACTCTCAACGGTGTAACAGTTCAGAAGGCAATAAGATGCGGCGACTACAGTTTATTATTGGACAGCACAGATAACAAAGTTACAAGCACATCGGGCGAATTGGAGTAGAGAGGCTGATACAGAGGTGGATTTATAGTCAAATCGCATCAAGGCGTATACATATAGGAAAGAGAATGATTTATTGAAAGATATTTAAACGATTAACATTAACATTTAAGCTAGAGAGAAGTGTGTGTAGGTTGTCACATGTAATCAAACATACACGTTTATACAGACATGATAGTGATCATAATAATACAAAGAAAAAGACAAATTGTTACTGTCTGGATAACACTGTTAAATAAGTTAATTGAAGGGAAGGGCTCGACAGAATTAACCGTAATCAAAATTAATTGTAGGAGAGTTGCTATAGTCTGTTATTTATAAACCTTAGTTGTTCGTAAACTATGGTCTTTTTACAGTACGATGATGTCTGATAATTCATATATAAACACATGAGTGTTTGAGTTATGATGACTGGTTGACCGAATACAGATAGGAGATTGCATGTTGCCGCGTTCTTCTACCACAGATTGAACACCGAAACGGAAGAAAGGTACGGGTTATGGACCAGTAGGAGTTAAGATAATCTCAACCATTGCTCAAGGTTAATTGCTGCTAGTTAATTCATGTCAGTGGTCAAAGCATAGAACATAAGTTTCTAGACAAGAAAGTATCCTCGGGTGATCGAATGAGGGGCGATCAAAATACATTCTATTAGAATTTCGTTAAAAAATAGGAAACTATCCTGTGTTTGTAATTATTATCAAAGATGTAAGTTGAACTAATCTACTATGTTAGTGATTGTGTAGAGGATAAATGAATTACTTTTTATGTGTGAGTAAAGGTGAATTCTAGTCCCGATACATGAATGTTTACTTCATTCCTTGGAAGTACTTGTGATTTTCTGAAGTGATTGCCTAGGTGCTCAAATTTCATTCGGTTTAAAAAGCTCCAATTCTCAGGAAACTGTTTACACTTTATTTAAGTGCTGTAGTATAGACAGTCAAATGGTATACAATTAGAACTTATGTTGGTATTTATGATTTATACCTCAGTTTATTCAAGTCCTACTAAGCAGGCTATTTCTCCAAATATATGGCTTCATCTAAGCAATCATTCTCTTTTTATTTCCTATTTTTGACTTTGTTTTCTACAGGCACTCACAGCTAAGAATCCATTTATATTTACTATAGCCACATTAACTGGACATTCTATTCGAGCTTACAAAAACTTCACGGTAAATTTAAAACTGTTTGAACTAATTAACTGTCATTATTAGTATCTACATTTATTCTGCGTTGTGTCTGTTATAGTAAACACTTTTCTGTTTTAAACAATCAATATTCAATTGAAAGGGTACACATTTAATAAAGATTTTTTCAAAAAAGAAAAATATTTGGTTTCTAACTGACAAAAAGGATTTTTATTCAGTTTGCTCCCCAGGTGTTTGTTTCTTAATATTTATCATGAATATGTACCTGAAGCTTTCTTCACTATTTATTCAAGTAGATGAATTGTAATTATTCTGGCAATGTCTCTGATAGATGGAGATTCAGAGTTTATTATTACACTTGACTTTCGTCTAGGAATCGAGTACAGTTTGGTAATGAATTCCAAAAAATAAGAAACGTAACCTGTGAATTAGTTCACTATTGTCTTCAACAGCCGAACGTTATCTACAGAACACAAGAATATTAAGATGAGAATAGGTTTAAAGAAGACAAAATGTGCCCAGCATGAAACACGGAATATGTTCACTAAACCACTGACTATTCAAATGTTTGTCAGTCTCACTTTTTTTCCTTCACAAGCTTCAAAAGCACGTACAAAACGGACTGTGCAATAATTTTTCATAAGAGAATGACCTAGTAACTAAGGTAATTCTTATAACGCAATGTTATAGTTTTCCTTTCCTATTATTTACACCGTTTTGTACCATTTCGATAATTCAGTTTATTGTTTTCCTTTAATTTGGCAGGCTTTGATGGATAATGGTCCAGCACGAGTTAAAAAGGTATCATATGAATTACAAAATTCTGGTGATCTAATCTCTGATATTGCCGAGGTAAGTTTTCCGTTAAAACAATTTATTTCGTCACAGAAGATGAGGATTACGTGAATAACAATTATTATGGTTTGTACTGAATTCGTTTTATTTCACTTTTTCTGTGTAGTAATTTATATCATAAATTGACTGAAATGGTATGAATAAGGTAGGTTATAGGCTTTAAAACATCAAGTAACCTATTCTAGCGGTAAAATTTGCTTATAAAGAATGCGGTAGTTTGGTATCGACGGCGCACGATTTGTAACCGTTAAGTCGAAGATTTAAAATCTCCACTTACTTTTGAGCATTGGGCTGGTATCATTACTCTCCACACAAATCTTTATGTAGTAAATGGGTCGAAAAGACAAAAAAGGCTTACAAAGGACTTTCATAGTCATTTAACTTCAATTAAGTAAGGGGATAAATGGCGTGATCAACCGCAGACGACATGCCCAAATTACTTTCGAGAAATGGGTATATTAATACTACTACTGGTTGATAATACTAATTGAGAGTGTGATATTGAGCAAGTAAATTAGTGAAATGGATCCCGTTTGAGGAATGTAATTCAGCAAGTGAGACGCGTGTGTGGAATTCTTATAAGTGTTCCAATTAAGCAACCAAGATACACATGCAAATCATCATGGGAAAAGATTGGTTACATCCGGTGTGATACTTTTACGGAAAATTGCTATGCACCAGGGGTTTGTAGACTGTCTAATCTTGAGGTATTAGAGATGAAGCATACTATCCAAAGCACAATTAAAGGGAACAAAATTACCCCCAGAAAACAGCATTTCATTATGTCACATGAGAATATTAACAGTTACTGGGAATTCATTAGGCGAAATCTTTTGGTAGTAGCGCATGCAGAATAGACTAGTACAAGAATAAAATATTGGACTAACAGTATAAATTAATTACTAATTACGGAATTGAAGTCATATAAATGGTTCAATATAACTCAACCTAGTTACTAACAGCGAAACCAAATGAAGCAAGTGGATGAAATTTGGGATTTGTAATCAAATTAATGATATGTAGCTCATAAGATTGTCCTTATTGTATTTGTGGATTTTGTATGAAGAGTACAAACCATATTTAAAACAGTAAGGATACATTGCATTATATCAACCATAGAAAGAAATAAGGTAGGAAATACTTTGTGGATGACTACTCACTCGATCTCATCATAAAGCCTTTATCGAACTCATTGACAAACACAAAATTAAATATAGAAACCAAGAGAGATTACCGTACTAAACAGGAAGGGCACGTAGAAAATTACGGCCATGTTATTGAGTTCATTTGAAATAGACTTAGCACATAAATCACTAGTATTACTTAAATCAACGCAAACCGAAAGGTGAAATGATAAATAGGGATGAACAGCATCTACAAAACAAACTGCTGCAACTGTGGAAAATGAATCATTAGACAAAGGTTCCATCTTCTACTCTTGGATGAGCATCGACTTATAGTGAAGCGTCACGACACATCTTCCCTTATATCAATGCATTTAGACAATATTGGATGCAAACTGCAATGGGAAATCTTTGAAATTTCGGACATTTCTAACATCAGAAAATTTGGAAACAATCAATCAATATATCGCAAAAGGACTTAACGTATCGACCAATTACTAAATTCATAAACAAATATAAGATTGGGGTTCAGATCAAAGGGGAAGACAATGTAAGTGTGCAAGCAATAACAAAACTATTGTTGACAGCAACCAGTTTAAATTATTGTTGGGAGAACAAGCTGCCAGTCATTTGAAGAGATATTTCATTAACTCCTTTATTCCTAAGATTTACGTTGCTTATTTTGTCGAAAAAGACAATGAAAGTTTTATGTTTTAACTATCAAACTAAAAAAACACAACCTCATAAAAATCTTACTTTTGCTCTGAGTAATTTCATATGGTGGCCAATCTGTTCAATTTTCTTTGTGCATGACAAAATCAGGGACTGTTGAGTATATTACTCATCATAACTTATCGATAAATAAGGATATGGAAGGGGGAATGAAATTCATTAATTCTGTTTTCTATCACTTTAGATTACAATCTAATCTCACTTCTGTGTCATTTAATTAAGTGAAATTATACATACATACATACAAAAATAATTTATACATTGTGCCAATAAACGTGATTGAAATCTCTAGCTTTTTCAGTCACACTAAAGTGAAAGTATGCTTTACTGATGACCCTCGGTGACTTTCGAAATGACCTCGTGAAAATCAATTTTCAGCCCATTATAATGTAGATAATATACATGTAACCTGACAGCCTGAAATGTGTTGGGGTTAGAATATGTAATTTGACTCATGGGTAAAGGTGTGTAGTGAGGTTAAACGTTAAGAGTAATTATTATTTAGCGGAAAACACCTTTCAGGCACATGAATGAATACTTATGCATTTAGTTATTTGATTTCATATATCGATGGCCTTTAAGTTTCCTTGAAGACTCCACAAGTCATATATATAATAACAGAATTAATGTCAGTTTATATGCATAATCCGCTTGATATAGATAGTAATATTAAATGGATCCCATTCTTTAGCATCCCCATGTTTATCAATTGTAAGCGTTCTAGTGATTCGGTTTGTTTCAAGGTTTTGTTTATTTCCTACTCAGCTCTTAAAAGGGATATAAGCTATCCTTAATTGTTTGTTAAATTGGGTTCAGAAATCCAATAGCCATCATTGTAAATCTGATTGGTTTGTAGGTAAAGTATTCTTTTACCTAAACATATAAGAAATATATCATAATTTAGTATCAGCTGGAATAGAATCAGTGAGCACTAGAAAGTTACAAATAACTGTTTTGTCAGTCAGGCACATATGTGCATCGGTCCAAGTTGTCATACATCATTAGCACAAGATGAACACCGAATCGTTGTAGTCGTTGTTGTAGTTAAGTAGTGTTTAGAAATATATTTGTAATCAAATCCTACATGTTTAGATGTCATGACGTGCATAACATTTTTATGTCACCTAGTTTAAATCTAATAGTTCGACCTCTCAACTCTCATCGATTTCTGATGTAATACGGAGCCGTCTGAACGGATAAGGATTATCATTACTCCAATAAACTCTAACAACTTTCTTTCTATATGTATATACATATTATTGCTTCCTTTTTTATGAAAAAAAAATCAGATTTCTACTATTCGTAAAGAAGATTATGCTATGAACAAGGCTAAAAGTGAATATGAGGACCTAGTACAGTGTAATAATGTGGCAAGCAGCGGTACACCACGAGGTCATCAAATGCCAGCGGCTTTTTTGGTTGTTGCTAGTGGCTTAAATAAGGTAAGCGTTGAAAAATGTGATAGAAGTGGTTTTATTTCATAATAAGACTATTTTTTTATCAGGATTGGTTTTTATTCGTTTGTGGCTTTCATTGTGATCTACAATTTCCGAAAGAGGTCGGTAATTGACAATTGTCTTTTCATCTTCCTAAATTGATAGTTACCGGTCAAACTTGAAATTGTTATGAAAGATTCAGCCAGTCAGTCATATGCAACATGGTACCTGACACATATGCGTCGTCTCAATTTAACACACCACTTCAGTAAGGATTGATGAAATTATCAAGATAAGTCTTTCTCATGAGAAACTACTATTTAAACTCTAGATAATTTCACCTTATGACAGTGAGTATTATTTATGAGTCAGCTATTCAATGAGGGCAAGAAACTGATTCATCTCTAAATTGTGTCAGTTTATCCAACTGTTCTATCTCATAACACATTGATACATTTATTGCAGCTATCACTTTTCACTAGTCCCATATACAATAGACTGTAATAATTTGCATTTCTTCAAAAAAATTAAAACTAATCTACAAATTAGAACACGAAGCTTGTATCTACCTATTTCTAAACCGTGTCATCTGTTTTCCAAGTGTTCTACCTACTCTGTGCTTTCTTAAATTAATGATACTCTTTCCCGCTCCTGTTGACTGTGACATATTCCACACCACTACTACATTAATACTACATTAATTCAGGGAACATAAAAATACAATTGTATAATGATTTAATAATCATAAAACGCAAATATAAACAGTGATTGTCTACGAATTTGTTCCAAAAGTTACGACGTTCTCAGTATCCGCTGGTTTAAACAGTCTGATGTCTGCGAAACAATCGGCATCGTTGTTTCTAGGCTGAGTGGTACAAGAATTTCATAAGATATCACATTATCTCAAACCTCAGGTCGCTTCTATTATTCTAATAGAAACGCAGAGTGATCATATTTGTGGATAAATGCGTTAAACTATGTGTTTGATCTACAGCTAGGGAAAGTTGACTGGGTATCATGGCCGTGTCCTCTTATTATCGATAAAGTGGAATTCCAACCTATCAGTCATAAGCTGCAAACTGATTGCCTTCACTGGTAAGTAACAACTCTCGTTTGGGATTTTTCGTTCACTAATTTATGAAGTGGGGCTGTGGTGCGTGCTACTTATATCGATTTGTGTAGTATATCACGCGAGTTAAAAACTCAATGTCTGGCAGCAGAAGATATGGGAAGATCAAGAAAGGAAGAGAGACAACACAATGTAATTTGTAAGGAAACGCATGAACAATGAAATGTGAGGCAATGGATTGATGTTTGCAACAGGAACAGTCCATGTTGATATGATGCATTGATATTTTGCAAATTAAAGATTTACTATATGGTTTTTCTATTTTACCAAGTAACTCTGTAATTTGTGCTAAATACAATTCGGTTGTTCCCACCTGTGTTCTCCTTCACTACAGGGCTATTGTTTAATTTAATGTTTGACAAGAGAAAGTCTATCAATAAGCAAGTCTGTTTTAATCAATGTTAACTACTAACATTGATCAGAATGATTTGATCCACCTCATGTTCGGCTAGCATGTTGTAGAATCTAATCAGATTTCGCTTACTCAGACTAAGTTCGGCTAAACACTTAGTAACATCTTCAATCATTAAACCACAATAAGGACTCATATATAAGTATGAAGTGATATTTCATTATTATATTTACCTTACTAAATGCTTTCATTTTGTAAATGTGAATCAATTGTTTTTTCTCTTTTTGTTTTGTAGCATGGTCTTGATGCCAAAGTGCAAATTCCTTACACTAATGTAGATGTAGCCGGTAGTGCAGGTGAAATTAACGTAACACCAACTGCTGCTCCTTTAATGATGTTTGCAAGACGATATATTTTACCACGACTAAGTTTTAAGTAACAATTTGACAATTATCCAATTTCTTCAATTATTCTGAATATTCTAGTTTAGATTTATTCGAATTTCGTTTATATCGCCTTTCTTGTGATCATAAAATAATGATTTTTAATGGTGTAATTTTTCAATGGGTATTTTATTGTTGAAAATTGAACAATGTAATAAAATACTGACATATTAGTAATTTACATTCGTTTTTATTGCAAATTACGGTAAAATTATTTACTTACGACTGTTACTCCCAATGGAGCATAGGCCGCCAACCAGCGCTCTCCAACCCACTCTGTCCTGGGCCTTCCTTTCTAGTTCTATCCAATTCTTGTTCATTCTTATTTCTATCTCCATTTCTCGACGTAATGTGTTCTTTGGTCTTCCTTTTTTTGGCCCTCAGGATTCCATGTGAGGGCTTGCCTTGTGACGCAGTTGGGTGCGTTCTTCAATGTATGTCCTATCCATTTCCAGCAATTCTTCCTGATTTTTTCCTCCTCTGGGATCTGGTTTGTTCTCTCTCATAGTAGGTTGTTGCTGATAGTGTCTGGCCAACGGGTCCGAAAGATTTTGCGTAGACAGTTTTTAATAAACACTTTCATCTTCTGGATGATGGCTTTCGTAGTTCTGTAGGTTTCCGCCCCATACAGTAGAACTGTCTTGACATTTGTATTGAGAATCCTAACCTTGGTTGACAGTTGTTTTGAGTTCCAGATGTCCTTCAATTGTAAATATACTGCTCTTGCTTTACCGATCCGCGCTTTCACATCTGCATCAGATTCACCATGTTCATCAATGATGCTGCCCAAATACGTAAAGGTTTTTACATCTTCCAAATCTTCTCCGTCAATTGTGATTGGATTGGTGCATTCTGTGTTGTATCGGAGACTCTTGCTTTCCCTTTGTGTATATTGAGACCTATTGCTGCTGCCACACTGTTTGTCTTCTCCTGCATCTGTTGTTGCGTTTGGGATAGAAGGGCCAGATCGTCTGCGAAGTCCAGATCATCCAACTGCATCTTAGATGTCCATTGTATCCCGCGCTCCCCTTCAGACGTTGACGTCTTCATGATCCAGTCGATCACCAGGAGAAAGAGAAAGGGTGAGAGTAAGCAACCTTGCCTGACACCGGTCTTTACCTCGAACGAAACTGTCAATTGTCCTCCATGCACGATTTTGCAGTTTAATCCATCATATGAACTCTGTATGATATTGACTATCTTCTGAGGCACGCCGTAGTGTCGAAGAAGTTTCCATAGTGTTGTTCTGTCCACGCTATCAAATGCCTTTTCGTAGTCAATGAAACTGATGTAGAGTGATGAATTCCATCCAATTGATTGTTCCACAATGACCCGTAGAGTTGTGATTTTGTCTGTACACGACCGATCCTTACGGAATCCTGCCTGTCGGTCTCGAAGTTGAGAGTCTGCGGAGTCCTTCATCCTGTTTAACAATACCCTGTTGAAGACTTTTCCCGGTATTGAGAGAGTGATGCCCCTGTAGTTATCACACTTGCTCAGATCGCCTTTCTTCGGTATTTTGATCAGAAGTCCTTCTTTCCAGTCTTTTGGTACTTGTTCTTCATCCCAAATCGGGCTGAAGAGAATGTGGAGTATCCTTGCAGTTGCCGCTACGTCTGCTTTTAGTGCCTCTGCTGGGATGTTGTCCGGTCCTGCTGCTTTGTCACTCTTGATTTGTCTGATGGCCATGCTGATTTCTTCAACCGTTGGTGGGCCAACATCGATTGGGAGGTCCGTGGGTGCTGCTTCGATGTTGGGTTGGCTCAGTGGAGCTGGTCGATTCAAGCGTTGTTTGAAGTGTTCTACCCACCTGTTTTATTGCTCTTCAATGTTGGTGATTACCTCGCCTTACTTGCTTTTCACTGGTCGTTCTGGTTTGCGACGATTTCCAGAGAGTTTCTTTGTCGTGTCATACAGCTGTCTCATGTTTCCCTCACTTGCATCCTTTTCCATCGTCATTGCTAGATCCTCCACATATTTGCGTTTGTGCGTTCTGATGCTCCTCTTCACTTGTTTGTTTACTTCTGTGTATTCAGCTTGTGCCTTGGCTTTTTCTGCTCTTGTTCGGCTGGTATTGATTGCTGCCTTCTTGTTCCTTCTTTCTTGAATCTTATCCAGTGTATCAACAGTGATCCATTCCTTGTGATGGTGCTTCTTGTGACCCAGGACCTCATGACATGTTGAAGTGATTGCTTCTTTGATCCCCTTCCAGTTGCTTTCCATACTAGTTACTTCTCCATTGAGTAGATCATGAAAGGCGTGGAACTTGTTGCTGAGGACTATCTTGAATTTGTTGAGTTTGTTAGTATCCTGGAGAAAGGCCGTATTGAACTTTTGTGATACTGTCTGCCCCGTTGTCCAGCGCTTCTTGAGTTTCACTTTCATCTTGGCGACCAGTAAGTGATGATCTGATGCTATATCAGCTCCTCTCTTGGTTCTCACGTCCTCTATAGTCCTCCTGAACGTTTTGTTGATGCAAATATGGTCGATTTGGTTTTGTGTAGAGTGATCCGGTGAAGTCCATGTGGTTTTGTGTATGCGTTTATGTGGGAATATGGTGCCGCCTATGACCAGCTTATTGAAGGCACATAGATTTGTAAATCTCTCACCATTTTCGTTTCTTTCTCCCAGTCCATGTCGTCCCATGCTGTCTTCATATCCAGTGTTGTCCGTTCCGACCCTGGCATTTAGGTCTCCCATCAGAATGGTCAAGTCCTCTGTTGGGCACTTCTCGACATTGACTGCAGCCTATCATAGAATTGGTCTTTAATGTCTTCATTGTAGTCGTTGGTAAGCACCCCCTTTTTTTGTTTTGAATGAGGCTTTGATGATCCTTGTTCCATTATATTCCCATCCTATAAGTGCATTTTGTACTTTTTTTGATAGCATCAATGCGACTCCTTGTGTGTGTGGGGCATTTTCTTCATGGCTGTAGTATAACAGAAGCTCCTTTCAAGCTAGTCGTTGTTGTCCGACTTGCGTCCAATGTGTTTCGCCGATCCCATGCACCTCCAGGTCGTATCTTCTCATTTCTGCATCAATTTGGAAGACTCTCCCAGTCTCCCACATTGTACGAGCATTCCATGTACCTAAATAAATGGTTGCTCTGGTTGTCAGAAGGGGCATCGGCCTCGTGGCTTCCGAAGGGACTCGGCTTTCACCATGAGGCGTTATGACTCTTCTAAATGAAGATCTTCTGATTCCCGGGGCGGAGTTTAAGTGGTTTGAATAATTTTTTCTGGTTAGCGTGTCTTAGCGAGTTAGTTTTCTATGGAATGGGGTCGCTAACCCCATGCCTAACCCTCCTCCTTTATCCGGGCTTGGGACCGGAGGGGCTGCAGGCAAAGTTACGGTAAAATAGAATGACATAAAAACTACAGACAAATTAATAAACAATATTTATTAATCGATGTGTGAATGATAATGATTGATTGTCTGCTTAGTCAGACATGTAGACAGTCTAACAGGTGTCAGATGAGTTATATATTCCCCTATCCGTATTATTATCATTACTCACTTATTATTGGTGGTTCATTTTTGTTGGGTAATGTCGGTTGAAATTTTGCCCACGGCAATTAAGATTCCCTACCACCCGTTTCTAAAAAATTGTATGGTGTGAAAGAAAAATTTATTGATCGGTGATTGGTGTACTTGTTTTGCGAGTGTGTACTTAAGTGATAATGAACAAACATTTTGTCACCTTTAATAATATTGTGATTGGTCGTAAACTGTTCATCTTTGTAATGTGATTAGTTGAAATCGAAATAGCATCAAGTGCTGTGATTGGATGTTAGAATTTAGATTATTACATTTGAAATTTTAATGATAATGAATATTTCTTTTTGTGTAATCTTAGTCTTGTAAGAAATTTAGATATTTATAGAAAAAAACACCAACTTAAGTGCAACCCTACTGTCACTGAATGCGTATTGGGATAAATCTTTGATTTCCGATCAACAATTTTAATGTCACGAGTACTTATATATATCACATAAAAAGAAAGTTTTTGGAAAAAAGCAACTGAAAATCGGTTTGAATATTTGATAATAGTGATTACTGAATGAGGTCGGTAGTCAAATCTGTAATACCAAATTAATAAACAAATTATCACTAAAGTGTATGCATAGGTTTTTTGGTAACACATGGTCTGTTAGTTCGATAAACAAATCAACATATTAATAAATCATCATGATAACTTACTAGTTGCAATATTTATGATTCAGGTGAAGCAACCGTAGACCATCATTGAATGAACTGACTTTGACAGTATATGAATGTAGTAATAAATTTAACCGAAATAGGCACTTAATATTTAGTGAACTTTTTTTTGTAAATGTTCATTCTTAATGTGAATTAGAAAACGTTAGATTTCAATGCGGTTAATTTTCAAAGTCCATTGAAAGGGTTTATTGTGTTCACTTGTAAATTATTTGTAGTTCTGTAATTTAAAATTAATTTTTTGGTCGTAATAAAAGCTAGTGTGTTTAATCAGTCATGTGTGAATATTGTTAACCGCCGTAATATGAAACCTAAATTATCTAGACATTACGAATGTAACCATTTTTGACAAGCATTTGAAATATCAGTTTCATGAAGTGTAAATGAACAACCGTACGTCGTCTGACTGACTCAACAAATATCTATCGACTTTAAACGTATAAATATGAAGAATATTTGAGCGAACAATTGTTTTCAATAACTTCATCATCAGGCTCTACAGTTATAAGTCCATAATTATAATATTTTACAAAGGCCAAGAATAAGGCATGTATTAATGAATTTGACAATGTTATGTGTTAAAAATGGTGAACGTTTGCATCTGTTACGATATATATATATATACTTCAAAAAAAATTGTAATATTTGCAAATTAGAAAGGTCATTCAATAAAGGTCAGTAAATTGTTCAGTCACAATAAGATAATATAATAGTACTATTGGAAAATTGAAAATAATTTTGTCAACTGAGATAATAATAATAATAATGTTGTGTGAATATAATTGCACTGTTACACACCGATATCCGAAAGACTATTGCAAATCCTTACGTCGATGTAAAATTAAACCTAAGATTAAGTCGCTCAAGAGATATGCACTTAGCCAAATCGAATCTCTTCAAACGTATATTGTTGAATTAGAAAGGAATATTACACAGTGATTATATTCTGTTGAAGAC